GATTCCAAATGGAGACAAATAATCATCACATGAGCCAGACTCCAAAACATAGCCCAACAATAGCCATCACAACACTACTCCTTGAAACGGCACCGTTTTTATCATCAGCTACTTCACCGTCATCGTCTCCGGGAGCATCAGCGGCGGGACCGTCGGCGTCAGCCTCCGCATTCTTAGGCTTATGTTTACTCGACTTAGGAGCCGGAGCCGCCGCTTTAACAGCCTTATAAATCTCTCTAGGCAACAAAACTTTATCAATCTTGTAAATTATCAACGGTTCTTGATCTTTCAACGTACCCATTATCTTCGCAGTCACAACGTCCGTCTCAAGCGTCACTTCTTCACCGTCGTTCTGAACGGTGAAATCAAACTTGTTGTCACCTTCCGTCGCTAACGTGTTCACGGCTCCGTTACCTGACCTAAGCATCTGCAACGACTGGTAAACCGGCATGCCATGGTACAACACTAAAGCGGTCTTGTTTGCGTTTGAAAGTGCTTTGAATTTAGGCATGAATTTCCCGACCGCACTGTCTGAAGGACAGAACACCGTTAAACCTCCGTCTACGGTGTCTTGGAACGTTTTGTCGGCTTTTGTTGATATCAAGATGTCGGAGAAAGCTTTGCATCCTTGCTTCTCGAGGATGGTCGTGAGTACTAGATCGCTAGGGCTAGCGGTAGGAGCTTCTGCTTCTGGTGAGGTCAAGACTTGGCTAATGTGAAGGACTGAGATGTTGTAAGCTTTCTCAAAGAGTGATTTAACGTAATGAGCAGTGAGTTGACTATCGTCGTCTTGGACACCGAATGCAACTTTACCGCCTTTAATGTCGGTAATATTGACGTAACCGGAAGTTCCGGTAGCGGAACCGGTGGACTGGAACATGGAGGCTGTGGAGGTTGAACCGTCGGTGATCTGGTGGAGTTTCTTGACACCGAAGTAATCGACTAGGACGTGAAGGGAGAGAATGTTGCGGATTGTGTAGAGGGAATAGCCTTTTGAAAGAATTGAGGACATTGCTGAGTTGTCTACGGCCAAGACGGTGATGGTTTGACGGCGGTTGATTTCGTCGGCGAGATGAGTGGCGGTGAGGTAGTGGTTGAATGTGGAGAAAGAAGGGTCTTTGGCTAAGATTTTGGTTATGTTGTGTGCATTTGAGAGAGCAAAGAGGAATGTGAGGACCAGAACGGTCGCTGATCGCCGGAGATTAGCCATTTTTGGGAGGTGGTTGTTGTGATTGTATTGGAGATGAGTCTTATTATATGTTATATACTTGTAATTAAGAGATGTAAAAAATATTATAAGAATTAGGGAAAGCTGTCTTGCATAATTCCAGCTCAGCTAGCAGGTAAAGTGGGTCCTACATGGGTTTAGTGTGGGTCACATTTGAAAGTAACATGGAGTGTCCAAACCGACACTTATTTTCTTGCCAAAAGAAAACTACGGAGTCAATTATTTGTGTTTTGCTTGCTTGTAATTATAGTAATGCAATGGTTAATTATCCGAGTTTGTGATTATATATATTACCAAATACTATGTAAATAGCTTATATGCTGAGATCGTTAGATGGAAATTAATAAGATGTTTTTTTTTTTTTGCTAAAATAATTTACTAAGATGTTGAGATCAAATGTTAGGGTCCACTTAGTAGAGATAATCTTTAAGTTAAAAGATTTCAGTTTATGGTATATGTTATACTTATATCTATATTAGGCTTGTCTCTATGATTCAAACTACATTTAAGCCACAATTACTTTTCATACTTAGACCATCATTAACGTGAGTTTTTTGCCAAGTGTCTTCAT